GGTCACCCTAGCCAGTCGCCCCTCAACTCCCGACCCACAGCCCCCTGCTCGCCCAACCCTGGGCTCTTAGGGTTCCCTCCTGTCAGTGGACCGGGGGGGGGGGCTCGGTTGGGGCCGGGCCAGTTGGCGGTTCTGTGACGGGCACCTGCTCTCTAAGAGCTTTGGCCAAGATCCAGCAAACTCATTTCTGCCCCGTGACCCGGCCGGGGTCTGGACTCAGCCCAGATTCTGTCCCAGCCCCTGTTCCCCAGACCAGGGGCCCCACAGTTCTCCTCCCCTCCCCCCCAAAGCCTCTGGTGCTGCTGTTTCCTGCCCCAGGTTTGGGGCCTGGGCCCTTTGCCCAGCCTCTGACTGAGGCCTGGGGCAGGCAGAGGGCGATCGTCCCCTGCCCCAGGCTGCAAGAGGTGGGCAGAGCCCCCCACTCTTGTTGGGGTGTCAGTGGCTTAGAGCAGGGGTGCAGTGAGATCACATCCCTCCTCTGGGGGGTACTAGTAGGGCCCAGTGGGCAGCCTGGCCTGTATCCCGAGTTACACCCCCATGCTCCTATGGTGGGTGGGGCTGGACCCGCCCCAGGGACTGGGGGGGCTGCAGGTCGGGGGGGCTGCAGCCCCACCTGACACTGCACCAGGCAGGGACGATGACAGCTGCCTCCCCCCAGCATCCCTGCTCAGCCTTGAGGTAAGAGTAGGCCCTACCAAAACTCTGGAAGCCAAACGTCCTGGGTTTGGGGCCTTTGACACCAGATCTCAAAGCAACAACTTGGGGCTGGGAAGGAGGAGAGAAGGGAGCACAGGACGCCCTCTACTGGCAGAGATTGTAAAGACATGACACCCTTCCCCACAACACACACTGCAACACCCCAACACCCACACTCCCCACAACACCCCCAAACACACACACTCCATCGCAGGCCCTCCTCACCCCACCCCAAACACACACACTCCATCGCAGGCCCTCCTCACCCCACCCCAAACACACACACTGCCCCCAGCCAGCCCCCCCCCCACACCCTCCACAGTTCAACCCACACACTGCAACCCCCACACCGAGCCCCGTGCACCCCACGACAGCCACACACAGCTTGTAGGCAACACCCCCCACAATCTCCATACACAGAGCCATCCCCACAACACACACGTGCCGTAACACCCCAGCGGCTACAACACCCGACACCAGCCACACGCCCCCTCCTCCCCGAGACGCACAGCGCCATGCACACGCCCTCCCCCCACCAACAGAGAGATGCCCAGAGCCACCCCCAACGCAGGCCAGAGAGACTGGAGCGTTCGGCTGCCCCACGAGCCCGGGCCACTCCCGGTGGGGCTACTGGGGAGAAACCGCCCGGCTGGTCAGAAGGGATCCACCCCAGGTCAGACCCACGGGCCCATCTACCCTGGCATCCCACCTCCCCCAGTGGCCAGGACGAGGGGTTGCAGAGGAAGGCGCAACACTCCCCCTAGTGGGCACTGATGGAATAACCTGCCCCTGGGCCCACTCCCTGGTAGCACCCCAGGCTTCACTTGGACCCCCTGCTTACCCGGGGGGTGTGTGTGTGCTCTAACTCCCCCCCCAGGGGGAACAACATTAACCCCAAATAGACACTGGCTGAGGGCAGGGTGCTGGGATGGGGAAGCCAGGGGAGGGAAACTGAGGCACGCAGCCCAGCAACAGGCGAGCACCCAGCGCCAGGCACTGCACGGGTGGGCCTGGGGGCAGACAGATAGCTGGGGGGTGTATAGGGATGGGGATCTACCTTAGGGGTCCAGTCAGTATCAATAGCCGTCCCCACACACACACATTCATTGGTAACCAGAGCAGAGATTTGGCCCCCCCCAGCCTCACCGGTGCTGAGACTTCCCATGCAGCAGCCTGGAGGTGACCCTGTGAACCCTCCTGCCCTGGAGCACCTCTTTGGGGGCAGAGCGGGACCCCCTAAACTCCTCCCCCAGCTGGGCCGGGGACTCACTGATCACAGCCGGGTCACCCTAACATCTGGGCAGCTCCTGGCCTGTACAACATTTATCCTCCCCCTCCCCCCACCCCGCTGTGGGGAAGAGCTATTCTCCCTCTTGTACAGGTGGGGAAACTGAGTCAGGGACAACACAGTGAATTGAACCCAGGTGTCCTCTGTCCCTGGTTGGCACTGACCTCTCCCCTCTAGCGCCCCTTGGTTATTGAAGGAATGTCCCCGCCCCTCCATCCTGACTGCCCCCAGAGCACCGCCCTCAAGCTTCAGGCCGAGAAAATCGCGAGACTGACTTAGAAATCACAGGATTATTATTGCATTTATACAGGGGCATGGAGACCCCCACAGCTTCACAGGCACCATTGAATCCCCCCACCCCACTGCCCCAGAGAGGTAGGTAAGTGCAATTGTCCCAGATGGGGAAACTGAGGCACAGAAAGGTTCCCCCTAGAGAGTCACCGGGGCAGTGACTGACTCCCCATGCCGGCTCCACCCACTAGCCCCCGCTCCCCTCCTTGCACTTGCTATAGTCCTGCACCAGGGCATAATACGATTTCCAGACGGCTGGGTCCTGCTGGCACAAGGTGCCCCCACCCCGCTGCTCCTCCTCCAGGTTGCGGTTCATGTCGCCCACGCAGGCCCAGCCGGGCGCGCTCTCGGTGCTCACGCACCACTTGGAGTGGTCAACGGTGGCCGAGAAGTCGGGCCCCGGGGCCGGGAAGCCCAACTCCTCGATGTTATACACCCGGTAGGGCCCCGAGCAGTTGGAGGGCAGGACCCCCCGCGAGTTGGGCCAGAACTGGACGTAGAGGTCGCTGGAGAGCGCCTGGGCCAGCCAGCCGGAGTAGAGATCTGGGGGGCAGAGCGGGGGGGGGGGGTTAGGCGACCTGGAGGGAGGGGAAATGACCCGTGGCCAGCACTGAGGGGTTGATCCGGCGGGGGGGGAAGAGACCTCAGGGGGAGCTGGCCAGAGTACAGAGCTGGGGGGCAGAGAGCGGGGTGGGGGGGTTAGCGAGCTGGAGGGAGGGGAAATGGGGGGGTCACAGGCACTGTGGGGCTGATCTGGGGGAACACATCAGAGGGAGGATAGATGGCTGGGGGGTAGAGATCTGGGGAGGCCGAGGTGTTGGGGGGATAGCACCACTTGGGGTGGTTATAAGGCCATGGGGGGGCTGATAAGCCCCAACACAAGCTCCACCCCCCCCATGCATGAGTGTGGGTCTGGGACCTCCCCCTCCCGCCCGTTCTCACCGTCGTGGAAGAGCCGGAACTTGGCCAGGCTCCGGAAGCGGCGCCCCCCCAGGGAGGTCAGGGCCACGCTGCGGTTCCAGGGGGGCTCCTGCACGTGTTTCATCTCGGAGGCCAGGCGCAGGTCGGGCAGGTCCTGGGCGAAGACCCCCTGCACCCGGGCGTCGAACACCTCGGGGTCGGAGAACCTCAGCTGGGTGCCTAGAGTGAGTTGGGGGAGTGGAGGGTGGGGGCAGCGGGACAAGACCCGCAAGCCCCCCCGGTGACACGAATTTGCCAGGGCTCAGCCCAGCCCCGGGTGTCCCCGTCACAGACGCTGCCCCAGCAACAGGCCACGGAGACTGTGCCCCACTGAGCCATGGGGCGTGGGTGTCACTCTGCCACAGCCAGGCTGCACCCTCACTCGGGTAGACACAGAATCAGTCCCCAGAGCCGTCAGAGCTCGGATAGAACCCAGGAGTCCTGGCTCCCCCCTCCCCCACAGCTATAGCCACTAGACCCCACTCAAATCCAGGATAGAACCCAGGAGTCCTGGCTCCCCCCCTCCCCCGCCGCTATAGCCACTAGACCCCACTGTGGATAAGTCTCTGATAATTTTCATAGCTTCACATTGTGCCTCTTCATATAACCTTCTGGTGGGTCTACCCACGTGTGACCTCTGTTTTCATGGGACTTTGTATCAAAGCCTCATTTAGAAACTTTGCATGGCCCTTGGTATAATGTTCTAGCCCCTAAGGGTAGAATAAGACAGAAGAAAGATGTCTTTTGCCAGCAGTAGAACAAGATCTCCCCTCACCCCCTTCTTCAATTGCCCTGTTGAATGAATGAGGTGGGGATGAGGAAGGCAGCACCTCCAGGCAGCTGCAACCCTTGCAGAAGGGCTGGGAGCCAGACCCCAGGACAATAAACCCTGTCCCGTGGGCTCCCTAAAGACAGGCAGACACACCGACGGCCTCGGGGGCTAGAAGCCAGCACCTGCTTTCGGAAACACCCTCTTTGCAGCAGCGGGACAACCCCCAGAAGGACCAATGGACACAGACACAGAGTTTGAATCTGGTATAGATTTGCATAAGAGGAAAGCTGCTATAAAAGTGAGGTGTCTTGCACAGGACCCCGGGTCTCGTCGTGTCAACATGGGAGCATCGATCTGGAGCGGCACAAGCCCGGCGCCACCCCCTCCCCCATCTAACTCACCTGGCCAGTGCAGTTAAGGGGAGCAACCAGTCGGTAACAACAACAAGACGAAGTGTGTGTGTGTGCGTGTGTGTGTGCGTGCGTGCGTGTGTGCGTGCGTGTGTGCGTGCGTGTAAGTGCACTATATCTATCTCTATGCATACGATACAGTGTTAAGGAATACATGTATTACTAATAAATGTGGTGTTTTGCCTTATTCCCCCTGAAAAGGTCCTGTGCAGTACTTTAAGTACAACACCACTCTCCACTCAAATCCA